AAAATAAATCAATTAATTTTTTCGATGTTTTTGAAAATTATAGTTTTCGAAATATGCGACGTTTCTTTTGCGGTTCAGTATATATCGGTAGATGCTCATTTCAGTGTAAAACAATATAATTTATAGATAAAAATTTTGTAAATTTACATTTTCTATATTGGAGTATTTGCTGTAGACTTATACTCACCCTAAATCTGTCATACCATTTACAAATTCTTCCCTCGTAAACTCACACTGTGTAGCTGCTTTGAACTTCCATGCCATGATTAAAACCAGCCTACTTTCGGGACTAAGATTTAAATCATCTAAAAACCTCATAATTCCATCCACTGTGATTTTATCTGGTTCTTGGGGATCTGAAAAATTAATATTTAAAAATAATCAATAAACTATCTGTTTTAAAACATTTTCAAAAACATAACAGTATTATTCACAATAATTTTCATCTATGTAAACAGTGTACAACATAGTGGTATCATGAATAACATACCACTTGTCTAAAAACTAACAGATTTGTTTTTACCAATTTTATGAGGTTCCACTTTATTTCTTAATAATAAAGTGTGAAGATACATTCAACTCATTCTAAACAGGCAGTATACCTTTGTAGAAAACGGGATACTATTAATGGTTGACTGCTTACTAAAATACTGCATTATTCCAGCTTCTGTCATTGTGCTAAAGTAAAATTCTGATGGAAGTCGAGAAGCAACAGAAAGAGTTGGCTAAATGACTGCAACTTCTGAAATGTGGCAGGGGGCAATAAGATGAACAAGAATAGTTTTTAAACTAAGTGGGTTAACAAGAAAAGATGGGCTGAGCATCGAGGTTAGTAGATTTGGTACATCAAGCTATTAAGTGTGAGAGGTAATCTGATGATTTCCTGAACTACCCTAGTCAATTGAACTAAATCCTTATTAAACATTTCCTTTATCAAAATGTCACTTTTAAATAGTATGTAGTAGAGTTTGAAACTGTACTGTGATTGTGCAAAAGATGATGCAACTGCTTGAATCTTAAGTATGTGTATATTACATCAAGTCAAGTGCTTTCAACTATGTAGTTGTGATATTTCTAATAGTTAGTAAATTTGTAAAACCCTTCTTGCTTTGAATTATCCATTGGTCAGTCAAACCATGGTTCATACAAGCAAAAAACAAGGTTGATGGCAGGTGCTGCTAGCTAGTTGTCTTCCTTCTGGTCAGGTCAAGCAAATTTGATGGTAATATTTGGATCAATTGAATAGTTGGAATAATTGAATACAGTAATAATTGGAAACCCTAATTTCAATTAGGTGATGATTTCTGTGACTGTCAATTGTAATTTCCAATAATTTAATACACTAATTCAGATTAATCAATTTAATCATAATTTCAATTAATTGATTAGGTTACATGACATTAACTGATGTAATCATTGCTCATAAGTTATCAATTAAATCACTCAGCTTTACTCTCTTGGAACACTGTACTTGTTGATTTATCAAATATAATTAACTAGTGAGGCTATCAATTAACTAATTAGCAAATACCACGAATTGCCAAGCTCCGAGAGATTTATATAGAGGACAATACAATATTATTGCATTTATTAGAAATAATCTTGTGTCATGGATTTTAGTTTCACAACAAACAGTAACTACAACCTCGTGACCCAGTTCATTGTATACAAACATTGCTTTAATTGGTCTCTTGAATGCCCTTGATTGGCCCAGTGATCTGACATGCATAAACAATACTTTTGTCTATTGTATCATACAGTTCATTGTAAATTTTATTGCAATTGTTTCAAGAAAACATTACAATACTTTATTAAGTTAAAATAACAGATGTGTTAACTGACTCTTTTAAAATGTTCTTTTGGAAACTTTATCCATAACTTAGTTGTGTCACCTCAAGAGATATCGTGAAGTGTCACTTAAGTCCAACTTCTTAAAAACTACGTCTAAAAACTACCCCATAGACTGTTTTTTCAAACATGAAGCAATATCATTTTTGCCAGTGTCTATGGGCTTTGGGTAATAAAAAATTATATTAAGAAATCAGGATCTAAACAGAATAATTGTCATGGATCAAAAATGGAAAATAAGAAACTCTTTACATTAATATTTGAAAATTATAACCATAACTGAATTACATAAAGACCCATGGTTTCCTCTACTTCTAATAGCCATCCTTACCATTACTTTTTATTAACACAAATACATATATAGTGTTGCACACAGCACTCTATGGAACAAATAAGCATTTAAAGCTGTTTATTAACTCTGTAACCACAAGTTCCTTTTTGAAAACTTTTCTACACAAGTCATCATGTTACATTCAAATTTTAATTAAACACCTTTACTATCAACTTATGTGAATTAAATTAACATTATATGTAAGTTATGAATCAAAGTTTTATGTTATCCAAGTTTGAAATCCTTTTATTTCCAAAATAAACCTTTTAAAAACTACATAACACTTTACTTGTCACATGACCAACGAGCTATCAAAATTCTCTACCTTGGCACTCTCTATCTTCAATAATACAATGGTAGTTCTGTAGATTACATCTAGACTATAAGATGCTTACATAACCTTCAGACTTGTACATTTCAAAGTTCTCTGAATGAATACAGTTAAAACAAGTAATAAATCTTTTCAACCCCTGACAAGTGCTATACCCACATTCAACAGATGTGTTTGAGCTTTGTGTAGCCTACATGCAGATGTTACATACACCTGTGTATAACCATTTGAAAGAGCTCATTTTGCACTATAATTTAACAACAGTTATATTGAAATTGGTGCACAGTTGACATCACAGGGTACATGTTACTTCCTGTAGTATTGTTGGCTGCTTGATCGACTCTAGCACTTACGGTTGTTACTTACCTAAATATGTTACAGTTAGAGATAGAGTTTAAATTGTATTTAGGTCTTACTATTATATTTTAGTTAATTATGTATTATTTGCTATATTTTAAAATGCATAATTGAATGGTTTAAACATTGTTTTAAATATACATCATACTTTGTGTTAGTTCTCACGGCTTACAATATTATGTGGTGCACGAGAATTTTACTGAAGGGTTGCACATGTCTGCCAGAGACACTGCAATATGCCTCGAGGTCACCTTGACTTGTGTCGAGATGAATAATAAGTATAGGACAAGAAAAGAAAACATTAAAAATTAACTACATGTGAAAAGGGAAAGACCTGAAATTACGAATTTAATAAAAAGGAAAATCTTTAAAGATATTCTACAAAATATTAAATGGTATGTATTTTTTTTCTATTTACTAATTTTTAATTACTTTAATTGCATTGTACGTTGATGATAATAGGTAGAGTTAGTGATAGGGTAGAGAAAATGAAAAATAAAATATAAACATTTACCTTAAAAAACTTTTGATATCCTTTTAGGGGGTTCTGGAGATTATGCAAATGAAATATGGAAACTATAAGATGAAGAAAAGTATTTTTATACTTAAAATGTAGAACTGTATTAGGTACTGTAACTGTGATGAAGTTAGAAATATTGTGATTTTTAGCTACTGATCAAAGAAAAAAAAAATACTGCATATAATATTCATGTTAGAAAATGTTTAGAAACAACATTGTTTGGTTTCAAGTCACAAAGATATATACATTGTATAAAAATGTAATGAAACAATACCATACAACACATACACATGCATGTATACAACAAAAGTGTTTCAAGCATAACACTTTTACTAGGACCTCATTAAAAAGGGTTGTTTTTGTTTTTTTAAGTATTGTAACTACTTTGGAAATTAGATTTTTAAAAGTATGAATTTCTGGAAATGACCACTAAAATTAATTTAACTACATGTAAACATCACCTGTTACATTAGTATTTGTATTTCTTGTTCCCATTGAGTTATTTAACAATTTCATATGATAAGGAACTTTTAACCTATAGCAAAACATTAGTGTCTTATTTAACAACAATGCAATCAAAAACAACTACACACATGTGAAAGGAATAATAAACAGTACACCAGTATACTGAGAATACAGAAAAAACATCAAACATACTGTATTACATGTACATTACAACCAGGTCAGTGCCATTACGACAAAACCTCCACCTCCTAAAGCTGTAGGTGGAGCTACTTTAATATAAAAAAAAACAAAAACAAACTGGACAGCCTTGTATGTCAGAAAATAGCTTGTATGTTATTATGCTAAAACTTAAATCTTATTAAAATGTACACGATATACAAATAAGACTATACTCTACCAGACAAATGGTGAATTACACACAAAATGAAACAGTGATACCATAATTTAGTCTGCAGGCAGATTACACAAAATATAACAATAAAAACAATAACAAAGTAAAGATAGTAAACTCCCAGGTTATTCCTGTGGCAATGAAAAAAAACCTAGTAACTTTTAAAACCAAGAATGTATACATAAAAAATAACTTAAGAAGAATTGGTAAATTTTATTTATAAAAACTGTATATTTGTGAATTATTTATAATTTCAATAGGCTATTAGTGAAAGTACATACACACACACATCTATCTACAAACATCCTTAACATATTTGATCAAGAACAAAATTCCATGACTTTTCAACAGGTCCCTTGCTGTCCTTAAATTCTATTTTTCATTGAAGATTCTAGAAATAACACTGACAAATGAAACTCTCTGCAGTGTAACAGATAACACGAACAGGTAACATTATGCAGTTAAAGTGGGAGATTTGAACCGTGCAAGTCTACAGCCTCATATGTTAAAACAGGTGTACCTGCTTTTCTGTACTTGCTGTGCATGTTTATGTTAAAACAGGTGTACCTGCTTTTCTGTACTCGCTGTGCATGTTTATGTTAAAACAGGTGTTACCTGTCTTTCGTGTACTCGCTAGT